TGATTTCCTACACAAGGGGTGACGTCAGTGGTATGTACAGGCGGCCATCATAGACCACCATGCTGTCGACCACTGCCCAGGGCGCGGCGCGCGTGCCGGCGCAGATGTCGTCGTGGATGGCGACCAGGGCGGGTTCGGTTGCTTGAGCGTGGCAGAGGCGGCCGATGAAGTCGAAACGGGGCGCCGAAACCGCCAGGAGGGCGCCCTCTTCAGTGTCACGGCGTGAGAGGGCATCGGCCACCGTGTTCGTTGCTCCGGGCTTGTACTCGACGGCGAAGTCGAACCCGAGCAACTTGCCGACCCAATGGTATTGAGGGATCATGGTGAGGCGCTAGTCGAGGAGGTACTTGAGACTGTAGTGGTCCATCTTGACGATGAAACGGCACCCCCACAAGTACAGCCGCCAGTGCTGGACAGCCTGGACGAGGCCAACGAGTTCCCGCTCATAAGCGGCGAGGGAGCGATGGTGAGGCGCCACCGGCCGACTGAAGAACATGATTGGATGCGCATCCTGGATGAGCACCGCGCCGAAGCCATAGGTGGACGCGTCGTACTCGACGACGAACTGCTTGGTGAAGTCCGGCATGGCCAACAGAGGGGCTAACGTTACCGCCGACTTGAGTGCGCTGAAGGCAGCCGCGGCGTCGTCGTTCCAGCTGAACCCCTCCTTCTTCAGGAGAGCTATGAGAGGTGCTGCGATGGCGCCGTAGTTGTGGATGAATTTGTGGTAGTACCCCGCCAGGCCTAGGAAGCCATGCACGGCGCGCGCTGAGTGGGGTTGGGGCCAGTCGTGGATCGACTGCACCTTGGTCGGGTCCATGGCCACACCTGCCTCGGAGATGACATGGTCGAGGTAGGAGACGGAGTCGATGCCGAAAGCGCACTTTGAGCGCTTGACAAAGAGGTGGTGCTGGCGCAGCACGATGAGGACGGCGCGGAGGTGTCACAGGTGGTCCGCCTAGGAGGTGCTGTAGATGAGGATGTCATCAAAAAAGACAAGCACGAACCGGCGAAGGTATGCGCGTAGCACGTCATTCATGAGTGCTTGGAAGGTTGCCGGGGTGTTGCAAAGCCCAAACGGCATAACCAAGAACTCGTAGAGGCCGTCATGGGTGCTGAACGCCGTCTTGTGTACATCTTCCGGCCACATCCGCACCTGGTGGTACCCCGACCGTAGGTCTAGCTTGGTGAAGAACCGCGCGTCGTGTAGCTCATCGAGGAGTTCGACGACGACGGGGATGGGGAACGCATCCTTGACGGTGAGCGTGTTCAGCGCGTGGTAGTCGACGCAGAACTGCCATGATCCGTCCACCTTCTTGATGAGGAGGACCGGCAAGGAGAACGCCGAGTCGCTGCGGCGGACGATTCCCTGCTCGATCATGGCGACGCACTGCCGCTTGAGTTCATCCTTGTGAGCCGCCGGGTACCGGTATGGGCGGACTGCCACCGGTGGCGCGCCTGGCTTGAGGGCGATGCTGTGGTCATGGGCACGCTTGGGTGGCAGTCCCATGGGCTCGGTGAAGACGTCCCCGAAGGAGGCCAGCAGCTCGTCGAGGAGCGAGTCGCTTGTCGGTGCAGTACAGAGGCCCGGCGCACTGGGCGTCGCCACGCCCGGCCAGCAAACCTTGCATCCATGTCGGGTGAATGACATTGTGCGCGCGGTGAAGTCCCAGGTGATCGGTCCGAGGGTGGCCATCCACTGCGTCCCCAGGACCAGATCGTACCCTGCAAGAGGCATGATAAAGAGGTCGACGCGGAACTCATCGCCGGCGATGGTGATCGGTGCTTGCTGGAGGACGCCTGGGCACGTGACCCTCTCGCCATTGGCCACGGTTGCCGTGAGACACGGCCAGGGTTGGACAGGCAGCCCGGTTTGGCGAGCAGCAGCCTCGGCGATGAAGTTGTGGGTCGAGCCGGTGTCGAGGAGAGCGACGAGGGTAGTGGTGCCCAGCGACACGTTGATCTGCATCATGTCGCAGATCGGCACACCGGCGACCGCGTGCAGGGAGAAGACTAGGGTCTCCATGTCCGGGGCCTCGATCACCGTGGCGTCGTCGCTGTCGGCGATCTCCACGCCGTCGATGAAGAATAACCACTTGCAGACACGGTTGTGCCCACGGGTGTACTTCTCATTGCAATTGTAGCAGAGGTCGAGGCGGCGGCGCTCCTCCTGCTCCGCCTAGGACAGGCGCTTCACCGGGCGGCCCTCCACCGTGACCGTGGGCGCTGCAGCCTTGTCAACCGGGGGAGCCAGTAAGGCGAGGCATGGAGCTGGAGCAGGCAGCAGGCCGCGGGTGGCGGTCTTGGTCGGTGCCGGCGTGTACTACTCCCGCAGCTCCATTTGTCGCGCCAAGCTCATGGCGGCTACTGGATGCGGACGTCGATGCTGAGCAGTGGTAGGAGACCCCCGGTGAAGAGCTGCACCCGCTGCGACTCCTCCAGCGGACCCACACGTGCCAGGAGCGCTTGGAAGCGGTCCTGGTACTCGGCGACCGTGCCCGTATGCCGACAATCGGCGAGCTCGAATAGCGGCGCAGATCGCAGTGGCAGTCCGTAGCGCAGATTGAGGAGGTCGGTGAAGCGGCGCCACGATGGAGTACCCTCGTCCTGCTGGACTTGGATGTACCACATCTGGGCTCCCTCCTCCAAGTTGTAGGACGCCATCCAAACCTTCTGTTCCTCCATGATCCGCTGCTGATGGAAGTACGACTCGCATCGATTGATAAAAATGAGTGGGTCAGACTTGCCGTCGTACCACAGAAAGTCCATCTTCTGGAACCGTGGCGGTCGGTCGGTGTGGTGTTCGCCGGTGGGCTGCTTGCTGCTCGAGGAGGACCGATCGGCGAACAAGGCAAGGATTGCCTTGGTGTTGGCCTCCGTGGTGGCTTGCAGTGTTTTGACGGCCGCGGCCAGCGTCTCCACGGTGGTCTTGAGGTTGGTTTGGTCACCCATGGCGGCGGTGCAGGAGAATGCGGAGGATGCAGAGGTGGGGGAGGGTGGCGCGGCGGCTAGAAGTGGAGATGGTGGCGCGGTGGCTGGTGGTGAGGTGGAATGGGAGGGCGAGGATCGTCGGGACCGTGATACCAGGTTGTCAAGGGCGTTCACTCCTAGGGTAGCTGGCCCTCGACTACGGAGTTCGTAGTCTCGGTCCGTCTTCTCCGGCGAGGTTTTCCCCTCTGCCGTAGGCTTGGGTTGAGGGAAGAGAGGGAGATTAGATAGGTAATATCCTTCTTAATCCTCATTGTTTAGCGTACAGGAAAATATAATGGCCAACCGGCCAACAAACTTGGAAACAAACGATTCTAATTTCCAGGCCTAGAATATCTCCTAGCCACTGGACACGCTCCTGCCTTCCATGCGCGTGGTGATCGCGGCCTCAGTCGCCGCGTTGATCGCGGCCTCGCCTGCCGCTGCTGCACGCGCCGCTGTCCTGCGGACGTCACGGGCCCTGCGCTGCCTTGTGTATGCGCGGCCCCACATGACAGTATCCAAGCAGCTTCCTGTAGCTTGGTCTGCAAAGCATAAAGCAACAAACCAATTAAGAACTCATATACTAAGCAACAGCCAAAAACGTTCATGTAATGAATCATAAGTATGAGCACAAATTAATTAGCTACGGGATAGTGTAATGCAAATGTTCTCAGAGTTGCTGGTGTTGAAAACAAAATCTGTAGACATGTTATCTAATAAATAAAAAATGCCGACAAATTAAATAATATGTGAAATTTACAAACAACTCATTAAAACAATATTGTTCATGACTAGAGATATTGCAAACACATCATAGTGCCCAGACTTTTCAACTCATTAAATGAACAATACATCAGAAACTATGTTGCAGAGATAATAACCATGAAAGAGTCATACAGAATTCTATTAGCATATTTTTCATACAAAAACACATCACTTCCACCTAATCCTAGTTCAAAAGGTAGGATACAAAATGACATGTTCATACCATTATTTTTTCACCCGTTGGAATGGACCATGTCCCATCAGCCTTTTGATATGTAGCCCTCCAAACTTGTATAGCAGTAGGCCATTCACCAGTTTCTGGGTCTCGTTATGTTGGAATAAAAAAGCATGTATTCACTAATTCAGAACAATTTGTAGCAAATAAAAAATCTGCCTGGTAACTTTTTTTCTCACCAGATCGTAAGCGATTTGAGCAATTGATCTAGTTCCTACTTTGGACCCCATCTCTTGCTTTCCTCTATTGATAGAGTTTTGGTTGCTCCTTTTCTGGTTTATAAATTGCATAAATGTGTCATTAACAATAATGTAGCACTGTAATTTAGGACGAGTAGTATGTACCTGAAAATCATCATCTGTCCACAAATTCCTTATCAACCATTGCCAACCTTCTAGTGAGACATGTTGTGGCCTTGGCTTCTTGTTATGGTAAGCTTGAAGCAGACGATAACATCGATTATTGTATTGACTCTCTACTTGTCTCATTTCACAATCTTTATCTTCTTCTGAAAGTTCAGGAAACTTTTGTTGTACACCAATGATATGATGTAATAAGCAGCCATTGAATGCAATGATAACCTATGCATGCCAAATATATTTATTTCATATGAAAATTCACTTGGAGTGGTACAGTTCTTACAAGAAATGTTATCTCACTTTTAAATAAACTAGCATGTTCTCCACACATTTTTGCAAATTCTTTAGGGAACTTTATATCAATATTGTTTCCTTTTGCTCTTGATCGTTGGTTGTAACTTTTCTACCACTCTTCTTATCAGGGTCTAGTTAATATGGGGGGGGGACAACAATAATTAGATGTAATATTTCATATTTCTACTCTGTACTGTACATAAACAAATTCAGATTGTATAACAGTTCCTAGTTACTTTGGTGGTTTTCTAAAATGCACTGCTTACTATTATGTTGTGTAAAGAAACAATTCCAGATCAGCATAACAGAGCCTACTAAATGTGAGCCTAGGCAATTTAGTGAAATGAACAATAGTGTACAGAAAGATTTTATATTAGCTAAGCACCTTCAGTGTTGTGTGCTGCAGCATTTATTTGAATATTTTCATCCATGGCCTCGTCTGAATCCAAATGATCACTTGTATTGTCAGCTCGAGAGGCACGTGGACGTAACCTGCTTGTTCTTTCCCCTGTAGGAGTAAACATTTTATAAAAGCAGGATTTTTATACGAACAAGAATACAAGCCACAAGTGTTCATAGTTGCTCCAGTTCATACGTATGAACAAGTCATGGTGCATTCAATTGTATGAGAACTAACAGGCTTTGGTTAGCTTACCGTGCAATTGGTGGAGACTAATGGAATCAGTATCAATATTAAGATATTGAGTTCCTCATAACTAGAAGATACACCTTATTACCTTGGTATAAGATCATGTAAGTTTCCTAAGCATAATTGAAACATTGGACTATGTGACATGCTACAATACATCAGATTTTTTTATGCAGAGAAATTATTTAGTGGAACTGAGTGTATGAATCCTATACCAGAGGTGATCAACTGCTCCCTTGGATCAGATAAAGCAGAAGTCAACTCATCCAATTCTCTATCAATTTCAGCAACAGTTCGGCGAGTCACCCGTGGAGCCATGTCCCCTGTGGAATCAATGAAGATTTTGCCAAAAGAAATAATCTAAAAAATAGTAATTTCATAAACATGAATGCTGGAGTGAGCAGGAGGCATGGATGCCCTAGCGCAAAAGTATGCAAGGGCTGGTGTCGAGGACAGGCATGGATGCAATGCATCTTGATGGATCGAAGGCCGGGGTGTCGGTGCAGAGTAGTAGGCATCACATCTTCGCGGATGGGCAGAGGTGTGAGGAAAGCGGCGCGGAGATGGGGGCGACAGCGGCAGTGTGGATCAGGGCCAGGATGATAGTTTGCAGCAGCATGGATCGGAAAATTGGGGCAGGTGAGTCTCAGCAGCACGGAGATGCGCCGCAGAGGCGTCCGGCCGTGAGGATGGTGAAGCACGGCCTTTGCGGCTGCTTTGACCAAGGAGTAATCATGGGAGGCTACTTTTGGTTGCTAGATGGCGGAAGGTTAGATGGGAAAAAAAGATAGAAAATACTAGTACTCACCTTGCAGACTTTACGGTTGCCTATTTCTCCTCTCACGGAATGGCTTGGCTTATTTCTTCATAGATGAAAAGGACTCCTTGTTGCTGTATATATATGTTGACGTCCAATGCAATATGGCGGGAGTGAAAAAAATTCACTGAGTAATTGGAGGGAAAGTAGCATCATTTGTGAATGGATATTTGGAGAGAACAATTTTTACCAATTACAAGGAGGGAAAAGGTGCGCTCCGTGCAAAAAAAACAAGGCCATAATATTTCTACTGGTAGAATTTATAATATTTAATGGACAATGTTATTTTCATATATGTGTTTATTGAAAAAAAGTTAATCATTTTAGGTAATGAATAAAATTCGGCTTCTAACCTCTTCAAATAAGATGTGTCACTTGAAATCTTCCAACGGTATAATCTAAAAACAATGTTCTTTCAATGCTATAGAACTAATTTAACATTAATATCCAATACAACAAATAAAAATATATTCATGGAAGGCGAAGACCTCCATCGACCTGGACTGCAAAAGTTGGCTAGAGTGTACTAAAGGGTTCATGATTTCCTCATAGCGTTATAACAGAGCCAAAAACCGTAAACATATGGGTGCATTTGGTTTCTCAAGGAAACTTGCCTCGCCTCACCTACACGGAATCCAAGAAACTCACCTAGTCGAGCAAGCCGAATGCACTCTCGAACTCTTTTCAAATATTTTGCTTGCCAGCACAGGCTCCCAAGCAACTCGCTGCTCAACCAAACGTCCGGCTCTCTTGCAATTCCTTACCAAGTAAGGCGAGGCAAGATACGGCCAAGGATCTAAACACACCCATTATCATGGGCCGGAGACAGGAATTATACATAGATGGGTCAGTCAAAGATATTCAATACATGTGAACTGAGTGTAGCTCATCTGTTTAGGTTCTTGTGGTGGAACCTGGCACCCCGTGTTAGTCATCGATGTACTTGATCCTATTTTCCTGAATTTATTCTAGTACGGCAACTCATTTGGTTGAGTGTGCGTGTATGCTTGTAAGCATTTGTCGGGCCCCTTAGCATGGACCATACGAATTCAAATGTTCTTGAATACGAATACAAATGGATGGTTCTAATTCAAACCATATTAGAAATGTACTTGATTAATATATAAAATCATAAATAAGTAATTATTGAAATTATATATTAAATATTTATAAAAAATAATATAGAATACTATAATTGTCTATTCATAAAGATCAAACCAAATACCAACATTCAAACCATATTAGTTTTGTTTTAGCTGATTTTTTTTTAGGAATAAGTAACTCACTCATGTATTCATCTTGTCCTTAAGAATCGTTATTTGGGCCTGTGGGCCAAGCATGTATTCGTGTCCCTGTAGCCCATATAGTCCAATGTGGTCTGCCTATCTATCCATCCCGGACTCGCGGTGATGGTGATGCCGCCGCCGCGAACGGACAAACAGACGCTGCCCTATCCGACACGAACCATCAACGCCGTGATCAACGAGGCTGCAAGGCTGCGCATTGGTGGTGACAGCGGAGGTCTAACCCAGTGAGGCCAGCACAGGCAGCGCAGGCGTGCTGCGGCCGAGCAGCGAAGGAAAACGGCCTTGCTAGTGCATACATTCGCTGTCTTTTTGGTCAGATTCGAGCAGAAGTAAGCAGGTACTATTTTCTGTTTGTTCAATTAATGGTTACCAATTGGTTCATTTAGCCGTGCGACCTGTTGTTGCTTCATTGCTCTGTACTTTTATTTTTCATTTGCTTCATTCATTAACTATCTTATTACTCCATATTCTGCAAACTAATGAAAAACCTGTAGTTATATAGAAACAACCTATATTTCTAACTTCTTTTGTAGCAAAAAGCAACAAAAATAGTCCTGCTTTTAGCTTTGCTTTCATTTGCACTCTTTTACATGATAAGATCCACCACAATTTATATAAATTAGACGTACATGGCCAATGTGGTTTTACGGATGACGGTTATCTGTCATTTTTACTTACGAAGAAGATGTCACTACTAAATCAAGAAAATCCAGTCTGGCGCACATGAGGCCGGAATGGGGGCGTTGCTGTGGCAGTCTGGCAGAGCGAAGGTGCAGCTTGCTGGTGATGGATCTGGAGTGGTGCAGGCGTTGTAGCGCATTCAGGTGAAGAGGAAGGAACTCACGTGTCTGACAACGTGTTGCCCGTGTATTTTGTGTTTATAAGAATCAAAGAAGAAAAAGATAGACTAACACGTGGAACCATCTTAAATAGCTTTCTGTATGTAACATGTGTTTAATGTATTAGATTGTATCTCTGTATGTAACGTGTGTTTAATGAATTAGATTGGATACATGTATTAATAAGGAGCTGATGCATGGGCTCTATTTTAATTAAGCTAGCAAGTAGTAACTATGATTTATCATAATATTTTTCTCACTAATTGTGTGTCCTGTGGTGATATTTTTCCATTAATAAATGTCATATTAGTGAGGTAAATATTTTTTTTGTCACAAATATCTTGTTAAATAGTGGCAAAAAAATGTTTCACCACTCGATTTGCCACTCAAGATGCTTTCTGTGGCAAATTAATATTTTATCACTAATAACCAACATAAGAGTGATGAAAGCTAGTTTTTTTTCACATATAGTATGGCAAGTAGTGGCAAATTTAAATTTCGCCATAATATTTTCTCACTAATTGGGGTAAATATTCTTTTGCCACAGATATCATGTTAAACAGTGGCAAAATAATGTTTCGCCACTAAAGATGTTTTCTATGGCGAATTAATACTTTGTCACTAATAACCAACATAATAGTGATGAAAACTAGGTTTGTCACAAATAGTATGAGCATTAGTGGCAAAGATAAATTTTGCCACATCATTTTATCACTAATGCTCCGTCTTCCTGTAGTGTGGGGCCGGCCGGCTGAAAGGTCCTTGTTTGGTTTTGGTAATTGAGTGACAACGTAGGTGGACTAATTGTGTTTAAATGCGTGATATATAGGTGATTAGTCCATAGGTATATGTGTGTGAGCAACTCATGCCATAGAGGTGAAATGGCTTGGATATGTTGCAATGCTCGCACATATGATGAAGGAGCTCATTGCATATGAGACATGACATTGAGTCATGTGACTAGGGTGGAGAAGATCAAGACAAGATTTGGCTTGATGGACCGGTTGCAAGCGTGAAGGGCAAGTTGGAGGCTTTGGAGCGATGGACCATGTGGCGGTGAAGCTTGAGCAAGACTTGGCGCCGATGGATGAAGGCAATGGTGAAAAGTAAGCGAGGTCAAGATCGATGAACCAACAAGGTCACGTGATGATATGAAGTGGATCATATCATTTGTGATATGGTTGGGGCATGTGTTGCATCAACATTGGAGGAGATAGAATGGAATGCACATGGCAAAGGTATAACCTATAGAGCATTTTATTTTCCGGTCAAAGGTTGTGTAGAGAAGTGCATAACCGGGTTCAGGATTGATGGTCGTACTATCAAGAGGGGAAAACTTATTTGCATATAGGTCATCTAGTGCCACTCGAGTGATCTAACTTTACATTATTGCTAGGATCGAGTGGCGTGGTGAATTGAGTGACTAATCCTTTGAAAAATATTTGTAAAAAGCTAGCACACTTGCACAAGTTGTTCTACACTTGGTGGTGTTGGCACATTTGCAAAGGAGAAGAAGTTGAAGTCCCTTTGGATCAACTTGGAGAAGAAAAAGGAGGTGCCCTAGGTGGACCGGACCCTGGCTACGGGAGGACCGGACCCTAAGAGGGTGAGTCCGGTCATCAACCCTAGCCAGGGCATGGCACTGTGGTTTTCTAGACCCTAGGGACTAGACCTAGGGCAGGGTTGGGTCCGGTCTGTTGCAGCAGAGGCGCTGTGGCTCGCGGGGGTTCCGGACCCTAGTGTCAAGCAGGATCGACCCCTGAGCTGTGGTCCAGTTGTGGCGTTGTCGAGCGCGAGTAGAGTAAGTGGTGACGTGGCGCGTGGTGTAGGACCGGACCCTGATTGTCAAAGTCCGGTTGCTTCTAGCAGACTAGGTCCATAGGGTTTTGGCCCTCTCAGGACCTCTCTAGACACGATCGAACTCTGGCATTGGTGGCATGATCGGACTCCATGCGATGGGTCCAGTCATCCTTGAGAAGCATGTCCGGTCAAGTCTGTGGTGGCATGCTCAAGGTAGCCGTTGGAGAGCAATGCTCGGCGTTCAAAAATAGGACACATGGCACGATCCTGGCGACCAGACCCTATCAACAGTGTGGGTCCGGTTGGCCTGGGAGGGTCCAGTCTGGACCTTGCGTAGATGGGGTTTTGAGCAATGGCACTTTTGACCCTTGGGCTATATAACCAAGCACTAGCCAGCCTTGGGCTGGTTGCTGAGCACACTAGAGCCTTGGTGGCTTATGTGGTGGTGCTTGGAAGCCCTCTAACTCACTCATGCTTGGTAGAGTTCATCCGATCAAGTGAGTGAGCGATTCTAGTGTGATTGCATTGTGAGATTGCATCGAGTGGCACTAGGTG